CGGGATTCCGCCTTCCCACCCATGCGCGGACTGCCAAAGCAGACCTCCCTGCGGCTCTGGACCTTCCCACTGGTACTCTCCACTTCAGTTGCCTGAAAACCCTCCAGGCTTCTCTCCCGGCACCCACCTTCCCAAAAGATGGAACCCCTGGGGTGACCCCAATACAGTCCCCTCATCCTAGGGCATCCTGATAAATGCCTTATTGCCTCTCTCAGGCAAGAATGTTGGGGGTTGATAAACCATGCCTTTTACCTCCTCCACAAACCTGGACTCCAAGGCATCCAGACAAGGATTCCCACCCAGTTTGGGGAACTTGGGAGGGAGGAGGGCTAAGGGGAGGGATGTAGTGGAAGACTGGGGACTAAGTGCACACCAGGGCTGATTCCATCTCCCCACTTTCTCTCCCTAACTTTCCCCACTCTCTTCCTCAGCCCCCGGGCTGCGAGACCTTGGGCAAGGCTCAGTGCAGAAGAAAGAGCAGATAGTCAGGCTCTGCCCTTTCAGCATCAGTTTCCCCATCTGTAAAACAGAAAGAGACCCAGGGTCCTGAAACCTCTGACATCCTAGGTGTGGCCTCCCACATCCCATTACCCCTAATACCTCCCTGGCCTCCGCCTCCCCTTCACTGTGCACCCCCTTCACCCTCCCCCGTCTGCCCAACTCCTTCCAAACAGAGTAACCCCGAGCCAGCACCAGACAAGAGGATAAACCCGGCAGTGAGCAGGAAAGCTTTGCCTCGGCTGTTAACCCGAGAGCCTGAGGAGCCCCCGACACTGGGACTTCCCCAAGGGCAGCACAGCTCTCCTTTCTTCCTATCGACCTGGCCCCAAAAAACAACTGTACCTCAGCGTGCCCTACCCACCCCAGGGCTAACCTCACCAGCCAAGCCCCGCGCCCGACACATCAGGCCCTCTCCTGGGAGTCACGGCTGGGTGGGGGCCCAGTGACTGAACCCCCTCCTCGGGTTGAGAATGGGACAGGGAGGCAGCTCCAGGAGAGACGGCTTAGTCCCCAGCAGGGAGCCCAACCATTTACAGTCTGGAAGCCAGGGAATCCCACATGGCCCTCCCCTGCACTCCGCCCTGAGCCCCTCTTACCCCCATGTTGGGGGGCCCACCTGGAGACAGAGACATAGGGGAACAGAGGCCAGGTGCTGTGCAGTGACCTCAGGACCAGCAGCCTGAGTGTAACAGATAAAACTCATTATTTTGTATAAAAATTAAGACCTTTGGCTTCCTTTGAAAAGTCAGAAATCGTGGCAGTGCTAAGGGGTGGGTGCTCCTCTTCACCGTCCTTGCCCTGCCAGCGACACCTGTCTACCACACGCCTGGACCCTGTGTTCCTAGGAAGACCCCCATGAACACCCCTCACCCCAGCTCTAGCCTGGGAGCCACAAACCCTGAGTCCTAAGCTCGGTCCTCACATCTTTGCAGACTTGGGTAGCCGCTCTGAGCCTCAGTTTCCTTGTCTTTACAATAAAGAAACACCTACTTCTGCGGATTAAATGAAACAGCTGCAGCTGCCAGGGTCATGGGCAGTCATGCCCACCTGGGCAGTTTTGTCCCTGCACAACCTGTCTCGCTCCCGTTCACAACTACTCAGTGAGCAGGTGGTGTTCTCACTGCTACCATCCCATTTCCTGGTAAGAAATGGAGGCTGGACAGGGGGAGGTGGCTCGTCCGTGGGCAAGCCTGCACCCTAAGTGGCTCTTTGGACTCTGGTCCCCACACCAGCCTCGCTCGACCCCACCCTTGCTTCTCTCTTCAGTGACCAAGATCTGCGCCCAGTGTGAGATGGAGCACAACGCGGACGGCCTCATGGAGCAGATGTGCTCCAGTGACTTCGGTGAGTGTGGAGCCCACGCAGCCACCCCAGCCCCTCCTCCTTGACACGCACACATATGAACACATGTGTCCATGCCCATCACTGTGAACCCTAAGTTTTTTGCCTTATGGACCCCGTTTAGACTGATGATATCCATGAACCCTCTCCCCAGAGAAATGCTCCTTTTTTAGTATCATCTCAGGGGCTTCTGGCCATGGTCCACCAGGCCCCAGAAGCCATCCCTGGCCAGGGCTCCTGCAGCCCTCACTTGGTAGCATCCACAGAGGGGCCTCCAGGGCTGGGTTCTCTGTGTGGGGAACAGGCTTAGCCCTGAGATGGATGGGGGCAGCAGGTGGGAGAAATGGGCTCCGGAACGGAAGTGCAGCCCCCTTGTCCCTGGGGTCCTTTCCTGAGGATCCGATGTACTCTGGCCAGGGGCGCTGTGGTCACCTGCCCCACAGCTTCATCCTGGAGCCTCCCCACTCCTGGGCAGCTGAGTCAAGTCCAGTCAGGCCCTGGCTCCTGCATGGACCACACAGTCCAGCTTGTGATCTCCATGAGAGAGAGAGAGCCGGGTTGTGTCTTGGCCTCCCTGTCCATGATAGAGAGCGAGCGGGGGGGGCGGGGGGGGGGGAATGAAATCCTTATGTCAGCAGGTCTCTCATGTTGCTAGTCTGTTTGGAAAGAGAATATCACTATTCTATCACAAGGGGTGTGTGTGTGTGTGTGTTCCAGAAAGAAAATGAGGAGGTGAGGGGGAGGGAGGAAGAGAAGCGAAAATATTTTTTATCGACTTCCTTTTCTGGGTGGAAAAGTAG